CAGGAGGCTGAGGCAGGAGAATTGCCTGAACCCAGGAGGCGGAGGTTGCGGTGAGCCGAGATTGCGCCATTGCATTCCAGCCTGGGTAACAAGAGTGAAACTCCGTCTCAAAAAAAAAAAAAAAAAAAAAAAAATACAAAATAGTTTATTTTGTAGAAAATTCCTCAATTTGGATTAGTCTAAAGTTTCCTCATGAGTAGATAGAGGTTACTCACTTTTGGCAGGGATACTACAGAAATGATAATGTATCCCTTTCACTGCATCATATGGGAGTGGAGCATGATGTCAGTACTGTAAATATCTATTTTTCATCCTACTTTTTTCTGTGAATTTTGATATCCCTTGATTGTTGCTTGAAAAAGGTTACTGTGTTGATCGCCAGGTGGTGTTTTTTCTAATTCCATTATTTCTTATTCATTCATTAGTGGCAATTTAAGGAAGAACCTTCCCTTCTGCCCTATTAATTGATGAACTAATTAATTTCATTAATGGGAATGAATTTTTTTTTTTGAGATGGAGTCTTGCTGTAATGAATTTCATTAATGTGAATGAACTTTTTTTTTTTTTTTTTTTTGAGATGGAGTCTTGCTCTCACCCAGGCTGTCATGTAGTGTCAAGATTTTTGCTCACTGCAACCTCTACCTCTTGGGTTCAAGTGATGCTTGCACTTCAGCCTCCTGATGAGCAAGGATTGCAGGTGCACACCATCATGCCTGGCTATTTTTTTTTGTATTTTTAATGGAGATGAGGTTTCACCATGTTGGCCAGGCTGATCTTGAACTCTTGACCTCAAGTGATCTGCCTGCATTGGCCTCCCAAAGTGCTAGGATTATAGGCGTGAGCCACTGTGCCTGGCCTTTATGGTCTATGGATTCCTTTTTTAATTTTTCCAGATGGAGCCTCACTCTGTCACCCAGGCTAGAGTGCAGTGGCACAATCTTGGCTCACTGCAATCTCCGCCCCCTGGTTTCAAGAGATTCTCATGCCTCAGCCTCCCGAGTAGCTGGGATTACAGGCGTCCGCCACCATGTTCAGCTAATTTCTTTTTATGTTTGTAGAGATGGGGTTTCACCATGTTGGCCGGGCTTGTCTCGAACTCCTGACCCCAGGTGATTCGTTCGCCTCGGCCTCCCAAGGTTCTGGGATTACAGGCGTGAGCCACCATGCCCAGCCAATTCTTATATTACCAAATGATTTAATTATTTACTACCATTACACATTTTATTGCTCGAATTATCTGGGATTTGGCCACTGAGAACCTGTTATAGCCAATTCCTTTGTTCTTTTGATATGTCTACATCATTTTTTAAGCACTGTTTTACTTTCTGTTACTACAGCATGTCACAGGTAGCAGCTATTTGGGGTCAGTGGTGTGGGCAGTAAAGGACTTTATCAAGACAGTTGTAGGTGAAGAAGGGCAGATTTATTAGAGAAAATATGAAAATACTTTACAAGAAAGCTATGGGTAGATAAGCAAGAAAGGAACTGACTGCAAGGAGACAAAGGCTGCGGATTTTATAGGATGGTGCTTTTGCTGGAGACGGTTATATGCAGTACTGATAATGCCAAGGTTGCGGGAGCTAACTTTAACTTCCATTTTTCTGTAAACCAAAGTATCTGGTGAGCAGTCAGTCACAGGAAGATCATGAGTTATTTACACTGGAGGGCTACACTTCCTGGACTGTGAAGAAAGGCACACTTGCAATTTATCTGCTTTTTCTTTTTTGAGATGGGGTCTTGCTCTGTCACCCAGGCTGGAGTACAGTGGCACAATCTCGGACCACTGCATTATCTGCTTTTTCTTTTTGCTTTCCCCTGCTCCCACCAGCGTGACTCCTTTTCCCTTATTAGGACTCCACACAAAACATTTCAGGTTTATCTCATATTTACTCTGTCCCAACACTGGCATCAGCTGTTTTACAAAAGAGTAAGGTAAGAGTTTTAACACTCTATTTGACTCAAATTTAAGTCATTAGATTGACTGTTTAATCTTCTCACAGATAAGCTCCTCGAAATAGAATTTTTACTTACTCTTTTCCCTTTAGCATATGTAACGAAATGTCTAAAATGGGCTAGTCAGTTAAAATGTGAAGCCAAGTTACCTTGAAGTCCCTAAATCAGAAGTTACCCAGTTTTGTTTTTTTTTTTTAATTAAAAACTTTTTTTTTTAGAGATGAGATCTTGCTGTGTTGCCTAGGCTGATCTCAAGTTCCTGGGCTCAAGGTGTTCCTCCTACCACAGCCTCCCAAGTAGCTGGAACTACAGGTGCATGTGCCTCAATGCCCAGCTCTAAAAGTTTATTGAGATTTTTAGATATAAAAAACAGAACTGCCGGGCGTGGTGGCTCAAGCCTGTAATCCCAGCACTTTGGGAGGCCGAGGCGGGTGGATCACGAGGTCAAGAGATCGAGACCATCCTGGTCAACGTGGTGAAACCCCGTCTCTACTAAAAATACAAAAAATCAGCTGGGCCTGGTGGCGCGTGCCTGTAATCCCAGCTACTCAGGAGGCTGAGGCAGGAGAATTGCCTGAACCCAGGAGGCGGAGGTTGCGGTGAGCCGAGATCACGCCATTGCACTCCAGCCTGGGTAGCAAGAGTGAAACTCTGTCTCAAAAAAAAAAAAAAAATTGATTATTTTGAGTCAATATGGAAAATTTACAGTTTATTCTTTTAGATAATGCTTTTTAAAGTGAAAACTAACTTGATTATTGCTTAAATGTGCAGTACTCACTGAATTTCTTTGTTATGTTACTTGACTTTATTTAAAGGTGGTTCTGAGGACCATTGGGTTTTATGTAAAACATCCTTCACAACTTTTCATTAGATTGACTTTTTAATCTTTTTTTCTAATAGAAAACATTTAAACATTTGACTATGTTCTATATGCATGTATCTATAGTAATATCTTGATTCTCACTGTTTGGTATAATTCATAGAAATAATAGCACAGTTAATCTTGAGGCGTTTTGAGTACTTAAATCATAAAATGTTAGCTCTCAGAGATTAAGGTTAATTCCTTTTATAAATGAGAAAAGAGCCGGGCACGGTAGCTCATGCCTGTAATCCCAGCACTTTGGGAGGCCAAGGCAGGTGGATCACCTGAGGTCAGGGTTTGAGACCAGCCTGACCAACATGGAGAATCCCTGTCTTTACTAAAAATACAAAAATTAGCCAGGTGCGGTGGTGTGAGCCTGTAATCCCAGCTACTCATGAGGCTGAGGCAGGAGAATGACTTGAACCTGGGCGGCGGAGGTTTCAGTGAGCCGAGATTGCACCATTGTACTATAGACTGGGCAACAAGAGCGAAACTTTTTCTCAAAGAAAAAAAATGAGGAAATAGGCATACAATTTACTTGGGTAATGATTATAAGTAGCGTTTTTAACTAGAACATTCTCAATGAATAGTCCTTTTTTTCCTTCTCCCATCCTCTGCCTCTACGTTCATTGATCTTTCTATGATAGTACTGTATATTTTCTTCCTGCTGTTCATTTTTTAAAAATTTTGACATAATTATAGATGCACATGCAGGTGTAAGAAATAATACAGAGATTCCAATATCTGTTATCTAGTGGTAACATCTTGTTAAACTATAGTACAACATCACAATCAGGATATTGACATTGATATTGTCAAAATATACAACATTTCTATCACCTTAAGAATTCTTCAGGCTGCACTTTTATAGCCACACCCACTTTTCTCCCATCTCAGCCATCTCCTTACCCCCTAGTATCTACTCATCTGTTCCCCAGTTTTAATTATGTCGCTTTAAAATTTTTATATAAGTGGAATCATACAGTATGTAATCTTAAGGGGTTGGCTTTTCTCACTCAGCTTAGTTCTCTGGAGATTCATTCATGTCAATGTGTATAGCAATACTTCATTTCTTTTTATTGCCGAGTAGTATTTTTTGTTGTGGCTATAGTTTGTTTAACCATTTACCCACTAAAGGACATCTGGGTTATTTACTGTTTTTGGCTATGATGAATAAAGGTATTGTAAACATTTATGTGCAGGTTTTTATGTCAATGTAATTTTTCATTCTCTGGGATAAATGTAAATGCAGGATCATATGGTAATTGCATATTTAGTTTTTAAAGAGATTACCAAATGATTTTTCAGAATGGCCGTACTATTTTATGTTCCCACCAGCAGTATATGAGTGATCCAGTTTCGCTGGATCCTCACCAATATTTATTGTTGTCACTGGATTTTATCTTAGCTATTCTG